TTTAAATATAATTTATACATTCAAACATAATATTTATTTATATGTATAATTTATTTTAATTTTTTAACATGTACATTACATATATTAAAATACTAGTTTATTCAATTTTAAAATAATTATTTTACACGTCATTAACTAATATTTTTTTATTAGTTAACAATTAAACTCAACTTATTAGTTTAAAATTGAGTTTAGTAGACGGATTATCATTCACTTAAAAAAATTAATATTTTTTAAAAAATAATTATTATAAAAATCAAAAAAATTATTATACATTCATAATTTCTAATTGAATGTAGATGAAAAAAATTTGACATTATCAATACGATATTATTTATTCTATAAAGTTATTAATGTGATTTTCTAAATACTTGTAAAAAAAATAATATGAAATTACTATTGAAAAGTTTTTGTTAAGTAACGTGTATTTTTTTTTAAAATATAATTACTTTTAAAAATGAAAGTACATTTTATAATTGAAAACAAATAAAAAAAACAACTTGCGTCTTTTATGTATGTACTAATATTTTAGTATGTCAATCTACAAGTTAAATATTTATTATATACAACTAAAAATTATAATATATTATATAATTAAATAATATATTATATAATTAAATAAATATTATGTTGATATATATATATATTGTATTTAAAATCTATATAAATAAATATATTTAAACATCTAAATTATATTTTAGATTTATGATAAAGAAATTATATTATTGAACAAGATTTTTTATTTATTGATAATTTATTTTAAAAATGTAAAAATTTAATTAATAAATAACCATGATAAATAAAAATCAAATTAAATAAGAAGTTAAAAAAATTCTAAAAACTTTCTTATTAAAGACCTTAAAAATATTCTAACGATAGATAGCTGTTTGTGAGATTAATTTTTTTTAAAGAAAAATGATAATAACATTATCTTTTAACATTTTAAAAATCTTTTAATTATTGAATAAATTTATTAAAAACCACTTTGGTAGGTCATGTCTTATTTAATAAATCTCTGTCTTAATACATCTGCAAAATTTATTAAAACTTACAATTTCAAACAAGAGTATTAATAACAATTTTTTTAAAGTCACTTTTTATACACTTTTGATATCATATTTTTAAAAACACGAAGAAAAAGACTATCAATAATAAAAATGGATAAGACCCATTGAGTTAAGTGTCAAATTAAAGTAAAATTATATCTCTAACAATTTTATAAAATGAAAGTTTAACCAATCCAACTACTTAATTACTTGATATTAGTGTTGTCTTACCATATCATAACAAAATAATTGGGTCTTTTGAACAAGGTGGCAAATTTAGATTATTATCACGTAATACAAACAAATAATGGTAATACAAGACAACCAAGTTGTATGGGTCTAGTCTTTTTGGTCTCGACATTTTTCGGGTCAAGATGAAGTAAGTCTTTTATGAAATATTCTAAAATATACATATATTAAATAAAAACAAATAAATACTCAAATTTATTAAAAATGATATATTTTATCTATACCGGAATACTCTTTTAAGTAACTATCTTGACATTCACATTTTATTGATTATATCTTTTTGTTTTAAAAAATCAGAAAAAATAATATTTTTTTTATCAAATTTAAGAATTTGAAACTAATGAAATAATCACAATATCAAATAAATTAATATACTTTTATTACTTAATTTTTATTTTATTTTTAATGGAGGCACGATGTGCTTTGATCTCACTAGTTACTTATATATATAATTTTAACTTATACAGAAATCTATTTTATTTTTCATTCTTTGAAAAAATTTATCTAATAAGACCTTATTCAACAAACTTTTCTTTTATTATTATCATGAAACTTGTTAAAATAAGTTAAAAGGAATTTATAAGAATCATGAGTTATTAGAGTTTGACCTCGATTGGTACTTCGTAAAATTAATTTTAAATTAGAATTAATTATTAAATTATATATTTTATGTTTATTATGCTATAAATTAAGTATTAAGTAATAATATCTTAAAGAAGATGACAATCATGTAGTTATATAAATCAAACTATTCATTCAGCCCCCAAGAAGGAGGAGAAAAAGCAGAAAATAGATCAGAGTTGAACTTTAGATGGAATGGGATACAATGAAACATATAATTTTAAAACCTAAACAAATTTTTGTGAACTTTTGGTACCAATCGACAAGTCAATGAAATTCTATTCGATGTTCTCGATATATTCTTATGCTCTTCCTTTCCTATTGTTTCCGATGCATCCTTTGAGCTAATCAAGTCTCCATTTGATTCCTTGTGTTTCAAAGCCTCAGTTTCATTTACAGCCTAAAAAGGATGGATTTTGAAGCATTAGAAACACATGTGTGCAATAAATTATTTTGGCAGAAACAATTTTAGTAATCTGTAGCCTTACCCCATCATAGCAATGTACCATGCAATCTTTTATGCCATGCAAGTAATCTGAAATCGCATGCAGAATGTGATTAAATTTTAGTAAGAGCAAGGGAGGTTAAGGTTCATAAATTGATTCTATAGCCTTACAAGGGTTTAGAAGTTGAGAATAACCTGAGTATGCTTTGTCCTTGAATATCAGTAAACTGCGTGGCATCAATAGAACTGAGAATGGGTGGTGATCATCAAGCCACTTATCTTTCTCAATCTCAAAAGTTCCTCCATCTGAATTTTTGTCAATATCGTCTTGGGAATCCAGTTTGAATCTGGCATGAGGAGTGAAGTCCATGACAACTGGAGATCCAAGTGAAAGAATAGCTACTACTGGAAAATATGCAGGCCCATCTTGGTGTGGCTGTAGAATTAAAAAACTTCATTCAAAAATAATAACACACAGAAAAATGCACTGTAGAGCTCACTAGTGATCAATTGATCATAATATAAACGTAAGAGATTAATGCTAAATAGTAAATAGTCAACAATGAAATATTACACAATCTACATTTTAATGCTTAGAGGAAGTGCAAATGAATGGCCAGAAACAGGGTTGAGGACTTGAGGTTCAGGAAAACAAACCATTATGCCTTGGTTAGGTAGGTATTCATTGATAAGAACGTGATTCATTGCTGATGGGAATAGCCCAGATTCTTCATATATTTTTTGTGTGAGATTTGTTAACCATGGAGGCACTGTACCAGAGATATAACTGATATTTAGCAGCATATTAAAAAGAAAAGAAAATAATTGCAGGAGACCAATTTTAAAAAAATCATGTGCATATCAATGATGGCAATGTTTTAATCATATTTACTTCATATTCAAAAGTCAACATTTTGCCAACCAAAAGAAAAGTTACAGAATCAGAACCTAAACATATATAAAGACAACAAAATAATTCAATCCACATACTGAACTAAGATGATGACAGAAGTATCAAAGAAGAGAGTCTGGACAACATAAAGTGAATCAACAAAATCTACTGGAACAACCCCACTATTTCTGGTGTGCAAATTCTTATCATCTTGCAGCAGGTACATAAAAGGGTGAAGCAAAAGTAACTAGAAGACTAGCATAACAGTACAGCTCATTGATCACTTTGAAACTATCAAAATGCAGGGAACAAGGTTAACTCCTAGAGCATAGAGATTTCTCACAAGAACTAGAAAACATAATGTGTATTTGTGTAGGTAGCATATTTAGATCATAAAAGAAGTGTAGATTTCCTCACTTACAAACTTGAGGTAGAAGGCCCTTCTCATGGACAACGCCACCTGCAGTCAACAATGACCAGAAAAACAAATTGACATCAATAAGAAAGAAATTTTCACTTCACTTTTGCTGCACCTTAATAATTTGATTGGGTGTATGAGGGGAAATTTGAAACAGGCATGTTCAAATTATATAATTGTGTTGAATGGATACAGGTATTAGTTTCATTATTGGTATCAGAATGAGTATGGGGGTGTTAGTACAACAAAATTTCTAAAACTAAGTATTGGCATGGGAGGATACACCATATAGAAATATAAAAACATAAGCGATGAAGTAAAAAGTCAAAATATAAATACAATTTTCATGATATTCTGACTCAAGTAAGAAAAACATTTAGAAAAGGCACAAGGTTTGATTGTTTGAATGAAGTAAAGTAGCAATTGTTTTATTTAGTAAAAAACCAAACAAAATAGCAATAAAACTTGCTGTAATGCATGACTGGTTTGTACTTGAGAGATAAGTGAGAATCAGATTTCTAACCATGTACCTATCCAACAAATGTTGGTACCCCGTATATATAAACTATTTTGAATATAATATTAGTTAATGACAATGTAAGATCCCCAACACATCGTATTCACACTAAGGACTAAACATCGCAAGCATGAATAAAGTTTGCAAAATTGGATGTTTGTAGATGATTTGATAATAGTTCAATGACAGGTGAGCCAATAAGCCCAACAACAATCACTATGGTAGCTTTTGAAACTCTTAAAATTTGGGTTTTGACTAACTCCAAAAGCTAACTCATGGAGTGTGGGTTTCCCAATTCCCACACTTGTATACACTATTTTGGTTATGTCATTAATCAATGTGAAATACCCAACAGAAATACATACCCATTACAAGTACCACAATGATTTAGTAGTACAGAGTATCCATTCATTACACATGACAATAACAATCAAGCCTTTTCTTACTATGTAGGGTCAACTACATAGATCAAAGCATGCCATAATATTCCACAATAAACCAAGTCTACTCCCCCAAAAACCAAAGACCAATCTTCCGGGAATTATAATACTTACAAGGCAAGTTTAGATTCCCATTTCATTTTTTTTACACGCTTCACTTTTCTGCCATCTCAACCTTCCAAAAATTTAAGTCTTTGATTGTTGTCCAGATTCCAAAAAACCATTTACCTCTATCAGTATATTCTACACACAAGAAAGGGGGTTGGGGAAGAAAAAGAGATTAGAAAGTCATGGATCATACCCCAATTCTGTAGCCTTCTATTCTTCAACGACTTCCACTTTGATGCAGGGGCTCCATAAATCTAATAAAAGAAAATCCATTATTTTAGATGAGAAACATTAGATAGAGCAGTAAGAAGCAGAATGAGAGTGATTACTACGTTGTTGAGAAGAAGGCTTTGGTCACTCTCTGTGATGAAGTCAGGAACATAAAACAGAGTTGGCAAAGACCCAACTTTGTAATGACCCAATTTCTCTTTCACTTCCATCACTCTGCCAAATCAAGGTTTTTCAATGTCATCTAAAAAAATGAAAATAAGAAGAGAAATTTCGTCACAGCAGTATTTAGCAATTACCATGCTATATATTCAGATATAATAAGGGATTGTTGGGTTTTGTTATTTAAGAGAAAGAAAGAGAGGGAGAACCTGTTGAGGCTGCCGGAGGTGAGGTGGCAGCGGCGGAGAGAGACGGCGGTGGTTCGAGTTTGGAAGATGACTGAAATGAAGAATGCACAACTTGACACAAATGCAAATAAATAAATAAAATAATAAGTATTCGATTTGGTCTTGAATTCAATCTCAAAAATCAAAATCTTTCAAATGACGATTATAAGAACGTGATTTTTTTTTTTTTTTAAAAAAGAAATATTTCGTGAGAAGGAATAAATTCGGTTGGAAGAAAAAAAGATAAAATGAGAAATAAGGTGCGTAAAAATAGAGAAGAGAAAAATAAAATTGATTATAAAACATGACTTTTAAAAAAAAATTAATAGTGATATATTATAATTAATTAAAAATTACAATGTATAAGATTTTTAAAATAATTATTATAAAATTAATAAATTTATTATTTATATAAATTGTGATTGATTGATGATGTAAAATTATTTTATATTATTAATTTAATATTATTAAATTCTTTTTAAAATAAAAGTGAATATGAAAATGAGAAATATTTTCTCAAAAGGAAAAGATGGAGTATGTTAGAAAAGAAAGTAAGAAATAAGAAAAAAATAAAATCAGAGTAAATTAAAATCAATGAGAAACAGAATAAAAATATGGACGTTTGATTTAAGGAGAAAAATATTTTCAAAAAGCATTTTTAATATATATTTTTTAAAAATTGACTAAATAAAAAATTATTTGTTTTAAGATTTAATCGATTAAATCTAAAAAAAAAATAAGCAAATTTCAATAGAGAAGGTTGAATTTAAATTGATATATAAATATAACTGACCGAACTCTTGTGTACAAGAGTTTTTTTTTCGTCATTTCCTAAATATTTTTGTGTGAAAAAACTCTAATAGTTTCTTTTTTTGTCAATTTCATCTCAACTAAACCCTTTCACCATGGTCTTAGTAAGTCTTGTGGATAAAAAAGGACTCATTAACCATTACAAGACACTTATTAATTACTAAGGTGAAGTTTTTTTTAAAATTATTTTTTTAATAATTAACGAAGAGTGATGTCAATCAGCTTTTTTTTAGTACAATAAGAGGCACTTAGATTAAAAACCTTTTAAAAAATATACACAACCGACATATCAACAAGTAAAGAAATTTGAATCTAAGGAAGAGAGGATTGAAAAACATGAACACCTTATAATAGGACTCTACAATACTTAGCTAAAATATCCTCAACCTAGTTTGCTTAATGGAATACACGTTATCATGTAACATCATGATTATCTCCAATAATATAAATTGCTTTATTTACTAGGAGTAATAGACATGGTATCAGAAACACTCGTCATTTACAAACTTATAAATTGTCATATTGAATCAAACTCTCCTAAAATAGTACCATCAATACCTCTATCTTGTACAACCTTTAATTCGTGATAGATAGCCCATAACTTCGCCTATATCACTGAGCAATGTTCCAAATTACAAGAAGATGCAACAATAAATTCTCACAAATTGTCATGTAAAATCCCTCCACAAGATGCAATACCATCACTCAGTCCCATCATAATTCAGTTTAAAAGATCCCAAAGGAAGCATCTCCCAATAAATGCTTGGATCACCATTGTTCCTCATAAAGCTTGACTTGAAAAGGCAAGTTACGGTTGCTTTGCCAATCTTTGAGGCGTGACCTCTAATCTCATATAATAGCCGACTATTATTTGATCTTTCATTGAATACTACCTTATTTATCCTATGCCATATAGAGTCTAATGCAATTGCAAACAATATACCCCAATCACTTAGTTGGATGAGTGGACCTTAAATTTGTCTCCATCCACATGCATGTATCAAGTGTGAAAATTTTTGACAGAAACTTACCATCTAGTATGACCTTCCACACCTTCGTGACAGGTGCAATCATGTAATACAAGAAGAATATTTTCCTCGTCCTCCACGAATATGGGACACATGGGATAGTGTGTAAGCCCTTTATTGAATCGAAAAACATTTGTAACCAAATATCCTTGATGTAGGAAGTTAATAAGGAAGCCACGTGTCAGCCAATCAATTTAATTTTGATAATCAGTTTAATTTTGATAATTCTGTTAGGATTTTCTAATTTGGTGTTGTTGGTTGTTTTAGTCAGTTGATGCAATGCACCACTATTTAATCTTTTGAAAATAATCTTCTTGTAATCTTTTTTCTCTATTTGATATACAATTCTTCGGATTCATCTTTGAAATCCCTAAATACGTAAGTTCTTCGAATAATCTCTATTCCTAGAACTACCTTCATCAGTGGTATCAGCTTGGACCTTCCATCAGCAGTTATGGCAGAAGCAACTCGTTCTCAAGCAGCGGTACGTGAACAAGAGGAGAGGCCAGGTTGGAAAACAAGATCGTATCGAAACTCGAAGCGCACATAATGGAGATTACCTCTTCAATTCGACAAGCGATTGATGCATCAGTGGATCAGCGAATCTTAGAAACTTTATAGAAGAACCCAGATTCAGATAATGATGCTATAGGACAAGGTTCTATTCGCAGAGGAGCACGCCCTTCGAATTCCAATTATTCTTGCGAAACACGGTTGGCGCGAATTGATTTTCCGCGCTTTGGTGGTGATGCAATTCAACAGTGGATCTATCAATGTGAAACGTATTTTGCGATTGACGGCACTCCTGAAGATTTCATAGTGAAATTGGCTGTAATTCACTTTGAAGGGAAGGCACTACAATGGCATACATCCTTTGTTAAAACTCTTCCAGAAGGTAATCTTCCTAATTGGACTGAATTTAAGAACATACTAATAGATCGCTTTGGTGAAATAGACGACGATCCAATGTCGGAACTTATGAAATTAAGGCAGCAAGGTTCTGTGGGGGAATACCATGATCACTTTGATGCAATAACTTCTAGATTAAACCTAAGTGATACGCACTTGTTAAACTGTTTCGTAGGAGGCTTAAAAAAAGATATTCAAATGACAGTCAAAATGTTTCAGCCCCAAGATTTAAGAAAGGCATTCCAGTTGGCTAAATTGTATGAATCAGCTTCTAGTTCAAACATCCCTACCAAAACTCCTCCTAAATTTCAGCATACACAAACTATTACAAAAGCCATTTTACCTACACATAAACCTATATACAAGCTTACTGATTCGCATACTACCCTAAACCCAAACCAAAGACAAACTAGTAAGAAACTCACACCTGCTTTTATGACTGAGAGGAGATCCAAAGGACTCTGCTACTTCTGTGATGAACCATATAGCCCTACACATGCGTTGACACACAAGAAACTTGAGATTCATGTTCTAGAGGTGAGTGATACTGAGGAGGATATTGTAGACCAGATTGATGACACTCCGGAAGATGGTAGTACTTCGTTGGACCCTCAAATATCAATTAATGCATTGACTGGTATAACTAACTTTAAAACTATGCGAGTGACTGGTTACTATAAGAAGAAGCCCTTGCACATACTCATTGATAGTGGAAGTACCCATAATTTTTTAGATGAGGAGGTGGCTAAGAAATTGGGTTATCCTATAACAGATATTCCTACCTTAAGTGTGGCGGTAGCTGATGGAGCTCGAGTAAGCATTACAGCTACTGCTAAGCAGTTTCCGTGGACAATTCAAAACACGGGATTTACCTCAGATATGCTTCTTATACCATTGGGATGTTGTGATGTGGTGCTAGGAATTGAGTGGATGGTTACTCTAGGAGACATTACCTGGAATTTCAATAGGTTGTCCATGCAATTTTATGTTCAAGGTAAGAAGCTGGTATTGAGAGGCGCAACAGGTGAAGGACTTAAGATTGCCAGAAAAAAACAATTACAGAAGACAATTGCCTCTGGTGTGCATTTGTCTATGTTGCAGTTGTGTGACAAGGATAATAGTCTCCTACTACATTCATTAACTACACATGCGGACAGTCACATTATTCCTGAATCTATAGATGAATTATTATTGCAGTTTGATGATATTTTCCAGGAACCTACCAAACTGCCACCTAAAAGAAAAGGTCATGATCATAAAATTCCCTTGGTTACAGGAGCTAATCTTATTAATAAGAGGCCCTACAGGTATGCTAAACAGCAAAAAGATATTATTGACAAGTTGGTGCAAGATTCTCTTAAGTCTGGTATAATACTGAAAAGTAGCAGTCCTTTTGCAAGTCCTGTTGTCCTAGTTGGCAAGAAAGATGGTTCTTGGAGACTCTGTGTTGATTACAGAGATCTTAATAAGCAAACAATTAAGGACAGGTTCCCTATTCCTTTAGTGGATGATCTTTTAGATGAGTTACACGGTTCTATGGTATCTTCTAAAATTCATTTACGGTCCGGTTATAACCAGGTGAGAATGGAGGATAGTGATATCCACAAGACTGCATTTAAGACACATGGAGGCCACTTTGAATATTTGGTCATGCCATTCGGCCTAACTAATGCACCAGCCACCTTCCAAGGTCTCATGAATGATGTTTTCAAAGAATATCTGCGAAGGTTTCTTTTGGTGTTTTTTGATGACATCTTAATATACAACAAGGATTTGCAGCATCATCTTTTACATTTGCATATGGTTTTGTTGACTATGAGAAGGAATTCTCTGTATGCTAAGAAATCTAAATGTTACTTTGGTGTAGAAAGAGTTGAGTATTTAGGACATTTTATCACAAAGGATGGTGTATCCACTGACCCTACAAAAATCATGGTTGTCAAGAACTGGCCAATACCAACAACTTTGAAGCAATTGAGGGGATTTTTGGGACTTGTAGGGTATTATAGAAGATTTGTTCGAGGATATGGTAGTATTGCAAGGCCTTTGACTAACATGTTGAAGAAGAATAATTTCCGTTGGTCTGAAGAGGCAAGGACTGCATTTCAATCCCTCAAGGATAGTTTGATCCAATCACCCGTATTAGCATTACCTGACTTCTCTAAGGTGTTTGTGGTTGAAGTTGATGCTTCCGGTTATGGAATTGGTGCTGTACTGATGCAAAATCACCACCTGATTGCTTTTATTAGCAGAGTCCTCAATCTACAGCAACAATCACTATCCACATATGAGAAGGAATTGTTGGCAGTGGTCTTTGCAGTCCAAAAGTGGAGGCATTATTTGTTGAATACTCACTTTATTATCAGAACAGACCATAGAAGCCTGTAGTATATACTGAGTCAGAGATTGACCACAGCATTCCAACAGAAATGGTTGGTGAAATTGATGGAATTTGATTTTACAATTGAATTCAAACAGGGAAGAGAAAATTTGGCAGCAGATGCCTTATCAAGACAGGACGCAGTCGACTGCCAAGCAATCACCACACTCATACTTGAAAGCAATATGTTGAACAGAATCATAGGCTCTTGGCAGGCTGATCCGGACATAAAAAAATTGATCCAAGATTTATAAACAGATGCTTCATCACATAAGCATCATACTTGGAATCAGAATGATCTCAGAAGGAAGGGAAGATTGGTAGTTGGGAAAGATGTTACCATACAGACTGATTTGTTACAATGGGTACATGCTGGATCTACTAGTGGCCACTCGGGTAGAGAAGTTACATTGAACAAGTTGAAATCAGTTGTGTATTGGAGAGGCATGACCAAAGATGTCAGACGATTTGTGCTAACCTGTGAAATCTGCTAGAAATGTAAATATGACAAATCTGCCTATCCGGGTTTGCTACAACCCTTACCAATTCCAGAGAGGATATGGTAGCATATAACCATGGATTTTATTGAAGGACTGCCAAATTCCAAGGGAAAACAAGTGATCTATGTGGTAGTGGACAAATTAAGCAAGGCTGCCCACTTCATGTCCCTAAAACATCCCTACACTGCTATTGAAGTTGCTCAATCTTTCTTGGACAATGTGTTCAAGTTACATGGTTTTCCAGACTCCATAACCAGTGACAGAGACCCTATATTTGTCAGTCAATTCTGGAAGGACTTGATGTCACTTCAAGGGGTTCAGTTACAACTCTCCTCAACTTACCATCCCCAAACTGATGGTCAATCTGAGGTTGTGAATAGATGTTTGGAGACATTCTTGAGATGTATGTGTTGTGATACTCCTCATGAGTGGTCTCAATGGCTTCCTCTAGCAGAATGGTGGTACAATACCAACCATCATACTGCCATACAGTGCAGTCCTTATGAAGTTATGTTTGGCCAACCTCCTCCAATTTACCTTCCTTATTTACCAGGGGAGTCAAAGGTGGAAGTAATTGATAGAAGTTTGCAGAAACGACAGGAGGCATTAAAGTTAGTAAAGTTTCACATGAAAAAGGCTCAAGAAAGAATGAAGCAATTGGTAGATAAGAAGAGAAGTGATAAATCCTATGAAATTGGTGATTTTGTGTATGTCAAGCTCCATCCATACAAGCAGATTTCAGTAGCATTCATACCTAATGCCAAACTAGCACCTAAGTACTTTGGGCCATTTCTGATCGAAGATAAGATTGGAGCTGTAGCTTACAAGCTAAAGCTTCCACTGGGGTCTAAAATCCATGATGTTTTTCATGTGTCACAGCTTAAAAGGCATGTGGCTGAAACACCAGTTTCAAGTTCCCTTCCTACAGATTCTGATGATGTTATGGGAGGCAAAGAACCTGAGAGAATTCTGGATAGAACAACTGTCAAGAGAGGCAACAAAGCTGTCACCAATGTGTTAGTCAAGTGGAAGCACCAGTTAATAGAAGATGCGACTTGGGAGTTCTTCTTTGACTTGAAGAAGAAGTATCCAGATTTTAATCCTTGAGGTCAAGGATTTTTTGAAGGCAGGGGAATTGATGTAGGAAGTTAATAAAGAAGCCACGTGGCAGCCAATCAATTTAATTTTGATAATCAGTTTAATTTTGATAATCAGTTTAATTTTGATAATCAGTTTAATTTTGATAATTCTGTTAGGATTTTCTAATTTGGTGTTGTTGGTTGTTTTAGTCAGTTGATGCAATGCACCACTATTTAATCTTTTGAAAATAATCTTCTTGTAATCTTTTTTCTCTATTTGATATACAATTCTTCGAATTCATCTTTGAAATCCCTAAATCCGTAAGTTCTTCGAATAATCTCTATTCCTAGAACTACCTTCATCAATCCTCGAGCTAATTCATTTGAGGCCATGCCATTTCCAAATACAAGCAAATACAAGATTAAGAGTTGCACTTAGATTTTGAATAAGATTGTAGGTGCTGCTCGAGGAGGAAATACTTTCTTGTGAGTAGGCACGACAATCTAACCTGTCCTCGTGGATACTCGCCCGAACCCGTCCTGATTTAGACTGAAAAATTTTGTGTTTATCGAGTTCGAATTTTTCTCGATTGATAAAATCGGGATAGGGGCGGGGACGAGGATGTTAATACCTGCCCCGCCCTGCTTAATAATATAATTAAAAAATTATATATATATATATA